AACTTTTTTTAAATTACATTTTATTTGTCGTACAGACAGGTCTCACTATGTTACCCAGGCTGGTCTTGAACTCCTGGCTTCAAGGGATTCCCCCACTTTGGCCTCCCAGAGTGCTGGGATTACTGGCATGAGCCACTTACACCTGGCTAGATTTTACTGTTTTATTGGAAATCTCATTTGGTTAGTTACCAAAACTATTTAAGTTCTTTGGGATGTTGAACATTTTTAATGCTCTAGGTCAACCAAGAATTCTTTTTTAATGTGTTTCATTAAGATGCCACTAAAACAGACATTATGCCTTTTTAATGAATAAATAATTAACCTGTAATGTAATAACTTGAGTAATCAATTGCTTATTCATAATTTTTAATTAAAATATTTATTTTTGCATCTTAAAACTGTTTCAAATGTGAAATTTGAGTTTAAGAAAGGACCTTTGTACAAATCAACGTGAGAAACAAAATGATTCATATAGCTTGCTTGCTTTTTTTTTTTTTTTGAGACAGAGTCTGGCTCTGTTGCCCAGGCTGTGAGTGCCATGCTCACAGCAACCTCAAACTCCTGGCTCCTGGGCTCAAGGGATCCTCCTGCCTCGGCCTCCTGACAAGCTAGGACTGCAGGCACATGCCACCATGCCTGGCTAAATTTTTCTATTTTTAGTTGCCTGGCTAATTTTTTTTCTTTATATTTTTAGTAGAGACGGGGTCTCGCTCTTGCTCAGGCTGCTCTGGAACTCCTAAGCTTAAGCAATCTTCCTGCCTTGACCTCCCAGAGTGCTAGGATTACAGGCATGAGCCACCGCACTTGGCCATGTAGCTTTCTTTATTCATATTTTTACAATTGGGGAAGAAGGGTAATTTTCTAGCAACTCTTAGATTGCTTAATTTAGAGTTAATCCAAAGGAAGAAACATTCTTGGTCTTGAAGTTTATTGTTGAGAAAGATAATATTGAGTAATCACACCTGTGTCAGCCAAATTGGTTGCAGCATTTAAGGTCTGAGCCAGTGACAGAAAACTAGGATATGACAGTGGAATTGAGTTTATAAGATAATTTTAAAATTCACATAATTATCTTATCTAACATTTTATTTGAGACCAATAAAAGTTTCATTTTTTCTCATTTATGTTGATTTTGTTTTCAAAGTATTTAAAACATAATTTTTAAAATATAGTTTATATTTCTTTATTTCTTTTTCTTTATTCTTATCCACAGATTCAGAAGTGGTAAATTTAAAAACATAATTTATACTTAAAGACTTAGAATTTATCCTGATAAATTATTTTAAACTTATTGAGTTAAACAAGGTTAAAGATTAAATATGTTTTCCCATTTTTCTCACTGCTTTAAGATCAAGCATAGTCTCAGTGGTTTTTAACAAAAAGGGAGGGGTGTGGTGAAAAAAATTAACCATTACCACTTAGGATATTGTCAGGAAAACACTGTTTTGGCTTTTCAAAGGTTCACATATAAGGAGAAGGTATATGAGAAAGATACTCTTCTAATGTTTTGTTTTCTTATTTCACGGACAATAAACGTAAGTTTCTGTTTTTCAGTTTACAGATCTTGAATTCCTCTTTTTATCTTGCTCTATATACCATTAAAAGAAAGACAGATTCAGGAATTTGAAAACCCGTTTCTCTTTAATGAAAGTGGCTAAGACGGGAAGATTCTTGATGTGGCTTATTTCAATAGTTAGGACCGTGCTCCAGTAGCCATAAATGGGAGTGGGGGGTGGCACTGAGGTTGGTCTGATACATAGTAACTCTTATCCAAAAAATAAGATTGTTCTATTTGCAGTTATTTGTTTTCCTGCTTCTCTGTAAATGAAGGTTGAATTGACAAGCTATACATCTTACATGATTAAGCCTCCACTGAAACAATATTTTTGAAGCACAGACAAAAGATGAATTTGAGTAGCTACTCTCTTCCTGGCACCAAGGATACCTAGAGAGAGAAAATTATCCCTGCCTTGGGGAAGCTCATAGTTTATTTCTGCCTCTCAAAAGGCTACTGTTTTAGGGTTTATTTGGATGCAAGGAACAGAAATCAGCTGTAGCTAGCTTAAGTAAAGGATTTCTTATAAGGCTGTGGGGAAATTTCACAGAATTCATTTGAAGAAAGTACAGATGGACCTCACTGGAATTGGCAAGGTGTCAGAGAGCCACTAGTTTCTATCTTGATCCTTCTAATTATCTGAGACTGGTTAAGGAGATTGTGGTGGGGTGAGTATTTATGGTGTGTGGAGGAGAGTTTCCTTGGATGGAGAGCAAGAGAAAAGACATCTCTAATTTGTCTGAAAACAACTGTCTTTTGTCAGGGATGTTCAGATGTACTTGGGAGGGCCTCCAAAATTAAATAATTGATACATCAAACTCGTGATCCCAAATTAAAAAATGTGCACACACATATGTTGAGGAATGCTTACAAAAAAGCAAGTTTTTTTTGGTTTTCACTTTTTTATTTTAAAATAATTTCAGATTTACAGAAAAGTTACATGAGTAGTACAAATAACTCCCCTATATCCTTTACCCAGATTACCCAATTTGTAACATGTTAGTATATTTGCTTTTTAATTTTCTCTATACATACACATTTTTTTCTGTACCATTTGTGAGTAGGTTGCATACATTGTACCCCTTTATACCTCTTAATACTTAAGCATGAATTTCCTAAGACTAAGCATGTTTTCTTTTTTTTTTTTTTGAGACAGAGTCTCACCTTGTTGCCCAGGCTAGAGTGAGTGCTGTGGCCATCAGCCTAGCTCACAGCAACCTCAAACTGCTGGGCTCAAGCAATCCTGCTGCCTCAGCCTCCCGAGTAGCTGGGACTACAGGCATGTGCCACCATGCCCGGCTAATTTTTTTTTCTATATATATTAGTTGTCCAATTAATTTCTTTCTATTTATAGTAGAGACAGGGTCTCGCTCTTCTCAGGCTGGTTTCGAACTCCTGACCTCGAGCAATCCGCCCGCCTTGGCCTCCCAGAGTGCTAGGATTACAGGCGTGAGCCATTGCGCCTGGCCACTAAGCATGTTTTCTTATGTAATCAGAGTAGTTATCAAATTCAGGAAATTTAACATTGATGTAACACTTTAGTCTATAATGCATATTTCAATTTCATCAGTTCCAATTATGCCCTCTATTAGCATTTTTTTCCTGGTGCAATAGCTAATCCAGGGTCATGGATTGCTTTTAGTTCTTTTGTCTCTTTAGTCTCTTTTAATCTGGAACTGTTCCTCTGTCTTTCATGACATTGACGGGTTAATAAATTATACAGTGCCCCTCAATTTGGGTTGGTCTGAGGTTTCTTCATCATTCAGGTTATGCATTTTTGGCTGGTGTATTAGATAAATGATTTGTGTTTTTATGTTATTAGGAGGTACATGATGTTTGTTTGCCCTTTACCAGTATGTTCATTTTGATTGCTTGGTTGAGGTGTTGAATAGTTTCTCTTTTGTATAGTTAGTGTTTTTCATTTTACCATTATTGGTTTGTGGGGAGATACTTAGAGATTATTTAAATATCTTACTCAAACATTCCTCTCCTAGATTTAGCATCTATTGATGATTCTTGCCTGGATAAAATTTTACCATGCTGGTTGTATATATAACCAGGTTTTTAACAATGATCTGGTAATTGGGATTGTGGGAGTTTTTGTTTTCTTATTTTTTCTCTAATGCATATGGATTGCTTTTGTAATTACAACAAATACAAAACATTTTAAGGAAGAAAGTGTAGGTAAGTTAGATAGTACGTAGATAATATTCCTGCACAGTTTTCCAGACAAATGGGATTTAAAATAATTTCCTGGATACTGATCTAATTTGATATCCGGAACACAGAAATTAAGTACTTAGATTGTTAAAGTATTTTAAAAAAATGATGTGGTTCCAGTTTCTCATTTAGTCTTTAGAATTATTGCTGGATAGCTTATTAAATGAAAATTATTAATTGCTTTGGAAATTTTTGTAGAGCAAGAGAAGAAAATTTTGAGGCTTATGAATAGAGTGCAGATTATGTTCTATAAAACTTAAAATTTCCTTCTGAGAAAAGATAATTACATCTAATTAATGAGATGATACTGTGGATACTTAACATTTTGTAGGTGCTTTAAAAAAATTTATCTGAATTGACTGTGTCCAAATATATCTTAACAGGTGAATGAAAGTTCAGTTTGTAGTACTACCAAATCATATCTTAGTGTTTAAATAAAGGATATCAAAAAAGAACAACCCCATGATGAACTCGAGGTTTTTCTTTTAGGCCAGAATTCCCATCCTGGACGTATAAGGTAGCACCTAACTGAGATTAAGAAATTAAAGTTAGAATTGACTTGTGAGGTCTTTTAAGTTAAATATTTCTGGTTGTGGCCCAAGGACCTCATATATCATTTATATGGAGTGCTTATTAAAATGAACATTCCTGGGTCCCTTTCCAGACCTACATAATTACATCTTTAGAGTGGGGCTTTCAGTCTGCATTGTAGAACTAGTTTCAGCTGATTTTTGTGTTCTAGGTCTTTGCTTTTATTTTATGAGAAACTTAGCCCAGAGAGGTTAAATGATCTTTCCAGGGCACAAAGATAGTGGTTGCTTAGGGATTAAAATTTAGATCTTAATGCTTTATGTAAATCTTTGCCAAGAAGTTATGCTGGTGCCATGTCACGTGACAGACTCTGTTCACTGCTTCTGTACTTCCCAGTTCACGATGATTTCTTGGTTTCCATAACTCATGTGTTATTTGGATTAGGATTTTTTTTTTTTGAGACAGAGTTTCACTCTGTTGCCCAGGCTAGACTGAGTGCCATGGTGTCAGCCTGGCTCACAGCAGCCTCAAACTTCTGGGCTCAAGCAATCTTTCTGCCTCAGCCTCCTGAGTAGCTGGGAGTACAGGCATGCACCACCATGCCTGGCTAATTTTTTCTCTATATTTTTAGTTGTCCAATTAATTTCTTTCTATTTTTAGTAGGGACGAGGTCTCACTCTTGCTCAGGCTGGTTTTGAACTCCTGACCTTGAGCGATCTGCCCGCCTTGGCCTTCCAGAGTGCTAGGATTACAGGCATGAGCCAGGCGCGGCCCTGGATTAAGATCTTGAATTGAAATTACAGCAGTACAAATTGGGATCCAGTTGTGGTGAGCCCTGAATGCCTGGATAAAGGAGTGTATACTTTATGGTAGATCTATTGAAAAATTTGCTTTGGGGAATGACATATGTGACATGCTTATTTACCCCCTATAATTCTTAAGAAAGATTATGAAAATAATATATGCTTATTAAGTGTACTTAAAACACCACTACTTTTGAGACTGTATTGCATAGGGTTTAAGAGTAGTAGAGATTCTAGAATCATACCACTTTGGTTTGATGCACTTAAACCAGGTTGGATTACAGTGTAAACTTCGGCAAATTATTTACCTTTTTGTGCTTTAGTCTCTTGGTCTGAAAAATGGAGATGATAATAGAGCCTAATTCATAGGGTGGTTTTGAGAATATATTAAGTTAATTTGTGTAATTCTTAGTAAGCTCTACAGCTGTTCCTGCTATAGTTGTTTCTGGAAAAAAGTAAGTCTCTGATTCCCATCTACTTCTAAGTTCTCTCGTATGTTAAAGTGATCACTATTTATAGTTTATGTATTTTTCCTGAAGTATTTTATGTAAATAATGTAAAAGTTTCCTTAACCTTTATTTAATCAACCTGCAGGATTAATATTCCTTATTTTAAAAATACTAATATTCATGCATATTCAGTGAACGTGAACTACTCTGTGTTGCTTCCATCAATTAGTTGAATGCTCCTCGGAGCCATGTTTGTTCCCAAATTGGCTAATTCCATTGTACTTGTATTGTGTTTATATTATTTGAGTAAATATTATATAGACCAATATAAATGAGTGTGAAGAGAGAATTGTTTAAGTAAAAACTAAGTTAAATGCTTTGGAAAGCTTGATGTAGGCAAATAAATTGCTGAAGAAAATTGTAGTCAAGTGAATTATGGGCAAGATAACTGAAAGATTATTGGGAAAAGTAATAAAAATTTAGAAGAAAAGCTGCATTCATACTGCTCCATAGTCTAGGTGATTTCTTACCTTGAAATAAAAATTAAAACCAAAAACAATAGATAGTGCATTATTGATATGGTTTATACAGGGATAAGAATCCAGGATCCTAGTCAGATGAGCCATACTCAAAGAATACATTTTGGTTTTACACCAAAAACTTCATAATGGTATTTTAAATTAAAAATACAATGTTTAAGATATGTATTATTTTCATAATTCTCCATGTTAACTAACTTTGATGAACTCAAACTTGTAGGCCCGGTTGTGTATATGTAAATTCAGATTTCTTTTTCTGAAAGAAGATGGATTCTGCCATAACTATTTTTTTCATTTTAGTATTTTGGAATTCAAAAATGCGATTTCAGAATCTGACTCTAGTTTGTCCAGTGGGGTTTATAGAACTCTGCTTGATGAAATGACAGATTTCAAGTGCTTCTGGAACTGGAACTTACTATAATCCAAAAACTTTTGTTATCTTGTGAGATTTAAATTGTACTTTTTTTAAGTGCATACTTAAGATGGATAGAAATTGTACCCTTCCTAAGGACCTTTTGAACTGTGATGATATTATAAGTTAGATTCATTTAGTGACAAATGATTGAATGTCTTCTTTGTAAAAGCATCATAAGAACTATCAGTTTGGGCTTGTTGATCTTGCACATACTGCTTTCTAAGAGAAGTAACTGATGATTGAGTTGGCTGTTATCACTGGGGTAAGATTGTGTGGTTTTCAAATTTAAGCCCGTAATTAGTATGTTGTAACCTAGTTGCTGTGTGTTAGCATTAGTCTGTTAGCTAATCTATCAATTGCTTTATCTTTGAATTCTAAGTTAAAACTGGCAGATCTTGTGGAAATGTATGTTTGTGCCAAAAGACAAATGCTTTTCTATTGTGTAATTGCTTTAAGGATAACTGAGAATCTGGAATGTTTATCATTTAAATTTGATCTAGGGTGATTATGGAAGATGTATTTAAAAACAGATTCTGTTGGCATGGGCTAAAATATCACTTATGAGAGTTTAAAATTTATACCTCTTACCTCCTGTAGTAAATAGTTTATTAAAGATTTTGGGGAAAATATTCCTACTTCAATCCACAACTTCACATAGCAATTTCTTCATGTTGAAGTGGCTTTTATAAATAAGAGTGGCTCATCAACTCAGTAAATGTGGGTTATTTTTCATTTATATATTATTTCTTCACAGAAAGGTCTTTACAATGAAGTTTGAAAGTGAAAATGGGTATAGCCTATTTCATAGCAAATGTCTTAGTCCCTTATAGGACTCATTGTATCTACCAACTTCATTCTTGACATTAGTTTTTTCCTTTATTCTAAATTTCTCAGTGATTATAAGCCTTATTCAAGACAGGCTACTCTCATAGTTAATAAAGTTTGCATATCTTGAGTATTTTTTCTAATTAATTTTGAGAGTAAAGTACATAGACAGTTTTTTTTTCCTAAGCTTCAACTTTATAGTTGTAATATACTAGTCTTTTTCCATTTCTAGGTTTTTGTTTTTGTTTTTCTATTTATATTAATGTATGAAGAGGAGGAAGCTGATCATTGGATACTGTAAGTCTTGAAAGTAAGACACTGGGGAAATGCTGTAGAAGTAAACTCTTTAAACATGAAAGTATTTACATGTAGTTTTTTGTTTTAATTAATTTTGGTCCCTTGCTGATTTTATAGGTTGTTAAGTACTTAGAAATTAAGCTATTCTTACTTTAGTCTTAAGATTTTTATAACAGTCTGCGAAAGAGTGAAACAGTATCTCTATAAAAAATAGAAAAATTAGTTGGCGTGGTGGTGGTGGTGGTGGTACATGCCTGTAGTCCCAGCTGCTAGGGAGGGCGAGGCAGGAGGAGCACTTGAGCCTAGGAGTGTGAGGTTGCACTGAGCTATGATGATGCCACTGCATCTAGCCCTGGTGGCAGAGTAAGACCCTGTCTCAAAAAAAAATTTTTTTAATAGTAAATATTTTAAATACATTTGGAATATTAAGATAATTTTTTAGATACAGTAATAGATTTGCTGATTTTTTTACCATTTTAATGACCTCTGTGGCCAACAGTGCTGTGATTGTAATTGGTTAATCGTTGAATTCAATAATGTGATTTTCATCTTTATTTCCAAGTGGTAAGGTAACTAACATTTATAAATAAATATCTACAGTATATTAGCATATCTTGTTTACTCTGCACAGCACCTCTGCAAGGTATTTTGCCTGTTTTTCCTGAGAGGTGTAGAGAGACTGAAGATACTTCTTAGAGTCACATAATGAATGAGTTGGCTGATCAAGAATTTGAATTAAAGTCATTTAAAAATTTTTGTAGCTTTCTCTCGATCATTATAAAGGACTCATTCTTGACAAGGTAATGAGAATAAGCAAATCTTTAATCAAAGGAAGTTACTTAAGAAAACTGCTCTAATGTACCTTTGATTATATTGATTGCTCTAGCTTATTTCAAGTGCCTTAAAGGAAACTTAGTTTTGATCATTGTCCATTTCCAAGCACCTAGAGCAGTATCGAGAACATAGTATATGCTCAATAAGTATGTTGAATGGATTTGAATTGATTTTATTATATTTTTGAAATAATAGAATAGTTGCTATAATCTGGCGAAGAAATGCTTAAACAACAATAAAGATTTCTTTCCTTTTTTTTGAGACAGAGTCTCGCTTTGTTGTCCAGGCTAGAGTGAGTGCCGTGGCGTCAGCTTAGCTCATAGCAACCTCAAACTCCTGGGCTCGAGCGATCCTTCTGCCTCAGCCTCCCGAGTAGCTGGGACTACAGGCATGTGCCACTATGCCCGGCTAATTTTATATATATATCAGTTGGCCAATTAATTTCTTTCTATTTATAGTAGGACGGGTCTCGCTCTTGCTCAGGCTGGTTTGAACTCCTGACCTTGAGCAATCGCCCGCCGGCCCCCAAGAGCTAGGATTACAGGCGTGAGCCACAGCGCCCGGCCTTCTTTCCTTCTTTAGAGATGAGGTACTTAGAACTTGATGGTGACAAGCTGAAAGGGTTGTTGATTGTTGGAAGTTATTGAGAAGATGATGGTGGTGGGAGCCCTGGAGACTGAAGAGGTGTAAATCTTAAACAGTGGGAAGGCACAAAAGACTGTGTGACTGAATATGAAAGGAAACTAGAGGAAAGAAGTATTAAAAAGAGAAATGAGATACTAATAAAAATCAAATGGAAGAGGTGTGTGTACAAGAAAGTTTCAGTTTGAAGCATTGATTTTTGAAGTGACAGCAAATATTTGTTTTTTGTTTTTGTTTTTTGTTTGGTTTTTTTTCACATCTCTTTGTTAGGTGAACAAATATTTGAATAGATATGTATCTTATAGATGGCTGGAAATAGTAAACAAATGAATGGTTGGATCCAAGACTGATTAGGGAGGACTGAGCCTTGGGGGGACAGCTACATTAGTAACATTCTTCAGTGGTAGGTTTTGGTTTTTTTTAAGATATATTGATGTTCATCTAAGGGAAGGAGGGCGGATTGAATGTATTGTAGAAGGAAAATTGTGGTTTGATTCAGAATAACTTAGGTACATGTCTTAGCCACTAAATTCCAGGCTTTGAGAGATAATGTATAAATATGTCAGTTATTGCTGTGAAGTGAAGTATATGATCTAATTGTGGAAGCTATACAACTAGCAGCTGTTTCAAAATAATAGTGTCAAAATATAAACCAGTAATTAAAACAACATTCTTTGGGAGGTTAAGAAGAGAGATTAGTATGGAACAGGTCTTACAGCTGAAGCAGTCTTTTAAGATAACCTGGTCCTAGTCACATTGTTATTATTATTTTTTTTTTTTGAGACAGAGTCTCACTTTGTTGCCCAGGCTAGAGTGAGTGCCTTGGCGTCAGCCTAGCTCACAGCAACCTCAAACTCCTGGGCTCACGTGATCCTACTGCCTCAGCCTCCCGAGTAGCTGAGACTACAGGCATGTGCCACCATGCCCAGCTAATTTTTTTTTTATATATATATCAGTTGGCCAATTAATTTCTTTCTATTTATAGTAGAGACGGGGTCTCACTCTTGCTCAGGCTGGTTTTGAACTCCTGATCTCGAGCAATCCACCCGCCTGGGCCTCCCAGAGAGCTAGGATTACAGGCGTGAGCCACCACGTGCCCGGCCCACATTGTTATTTTTAACTGAGGAAACAGTCCTCAGGAGGTTGGTCTACTAGATATCTTTCTTCCTTTTTTCTTTTTTCTTTTTTTTTTTTTTTTATAATTGTAAAACCTGGGAATCTTTTCTTTTTTTTTTTGAGACAGTCTCACTCTGTTGCCCTGGCTAGAGTGCCATTGTGTCAGCCTAGCTCACAGCAACCTCAGACTCCTGGGCTCAAGCAATCCTTTTGCCTCAGCCTCTGGAGTAGCTGGGACTACAGGCATGCACCTAATTTTTTCTATATGTTTTTAATTGGCCAATTAATTTCTTTCTATTTTCAGTAGAGACGGGGGTCTCACTCTTGCTCAGGCTGGTTTTGAACTCCTGACCTTCAACGATCCGCCCCTCCCAGAGTGCTAGGATTACAGGCATGAGCCACCACGCCCGGCTACTAGATATCTTAAAGCTAGTTTTGTGACACAGATGTCCAAGTTGGAACGTTGGGAACGCTTCAAAGAAGCATTGGTTCTTGAAGATTTAATAAGATTTTTATTGAGTGGGAAAAGAAAGTAAAAGAAAACGACATTAGGGAATTTGAAGGGGAATGAACAAAGCATATGCCAACAGTAGCAATCCTTTAAAAGGATTTATATATTGAAGTATTAGTATGGAACAAGGTAACCTGATATAATGTCAAGATTAGGAACTTGACTATAATTAATGTGAACTATATTTTTTTTGGAACAGGGCAAAGGTTATGAAACTAGTGGCCTTTGAAGTATAACACATATTCTGTCCAATGTTGTAAACAGTGGTTCTGCTAATAAAATAGAGTACTGGAGTGAATGCATTTCATTTTTTTATTTTATTTTATTTTATTTTTTTGAGACAGAGTCTCACTTTGTTGCCCAGGCTAGAGTGAGTGCTGTGGCGTCAGCCTAGCTCACAGCAACCTCAAACTCCTGGGCTCAAGCGATCCTCCTGCCTCAGCCTCCCGAGTAGCTGGGACTACAGGCATGTGGCACCATGCCCGGCTGATTTTTTCTATATATCTTAGTTGGCCAATTAATTTCTTTCTATTTATAGTAGAGATGGGGTCTCGCTCTTGCTAGGCTGGTTTCAAACTCCTGACCTTGAGCAATCTGCCCGCCTCAGCCTCCCAGAGTGCTAGGATTACAGGTGTGAGCCACCTCGCCTGGCTGAGTGAATGCATTTTAAAAAATTATTTTGATAAGACATTCAGGCCACTTCCTAGACCTATTAAATCAGAATCTCTAGGGTGAGGTCCAGGAAACTGTTATTTTTTACTCCCACCCCCAGATATATGAAAAGTAGCAGTTTGTAAATCTTTGTTTAGGAACCAATTATTTAAAGGTCAAATTAGAATAGGGAAAGAAACTACTTCAAAAATTATTCTTGTCACCAAGGTCTGAGATAATAAAATGTAAATAGTAAGATCGGAAAGATTTGTTTAAATCCTATTAATTAGATTTGATGCACATTGTTTTTAGAGAAGGAAAGAAGAAAAGTCTCATATTCTCCTATCTGAAAGAAATGGACTATAGTCATAGAAGGCATACTTAGTTAACTCTGGAGAGAGAAGACATTGTTTTCCTTGCGATTAAAGAATGAGAGAAAATTATTGACAACTTTGATTGTTTTAATCAAAAAGTATGCTGTTACCTGGTGGCAAACTTCCTTAAAGGTGAATAAAAGATAATGTGTTTGCAGGGTTTGTTGTTGTTTGATTTTTAATTACAACTGGCTTTAACACTATTTGGAAGAGTATTTTTTCTTTTCTGCCCTTTGGACAAGTAATATACCAGCAGAACAAGTTTTTAATGTCACATTTTGAGTAAGTATTTTCTTTAAACCATTGAGTTTTCTAACTGTTATCCAGGAAGCCTTTTCCAGGCTTTTCATGGAATTTAACTGTTAGCTGAGAGGGTATGCAGGTCCGGACATTCCCCTTTTTAACCACAGATAATAGCAAATATGAGGCAGACATGTCTACTGTACCCAGTTTTAGATGTCACTATTCACTGTGGCATTCTTCCATAATATTTGGCAGTGGCCTCCTTAGCACTTCAAGTGGACACTAGCAATCATTGGGAAAACACAGGAAAAAAGACTATTTTTAATCCTATAATCAAAAAGGATGCTTAGTTTTCCCTTCCCTTCCCTTCCCTTCCCTTCCCTTCCCTTCCCCCTTCCCCTTCTTCCCCTTCCCCTTCCCCTTCCTCTTTTCTTTTCTTTTCTTTTCTTGTCTTTTTTTCTTTTTTGAGACACAGTCTCACTCTGTTGCCCAGGCTAGAGTGCCGTGGCATCAGCTAGCCACAACAACCTCAAACCCCTGGGCTCAAGTGATCCTCCTGCCTCAGCCTCCTGAGTAGCTGGGACTACAGGCATATACCACTATGCCCGGCTAATTTTTTTTTAGTTGTC